TAAACTTGGATATTAAGATCCATTTTTTTTACTGTAGACAAACTGAGAACCATAGAGAGATAACCAATCTTCAGATGTTAACAGCAGGACTAGAACACGTATCTCCAGGCTCTTCCAGAGACCTCTGTGCAAAAGCTGTTGGTGTTCACAATGGTATTGTTTGATAAGCCTAAATAAGTATGTTTGATAAGCCTAAATAAGTAAAGGTTTTTGGCACTTCAAATATAAATGGGATGTATGCCTTATCCAAGATGATGCAACCTGGCTAGTTTTAAAGTGAAAAGATGCCCTAGTATTAATGAATTGCTACTGTAAATAATGTCCTAAAAACAAGCTTAAATACTTAACGCAACTCTTCTCATGAGATTGGGGTGGAATGCGACTGGAATAACCCGATCAAGCAACATTCACCAAACCCCAGCCACAGGAAGGCAACCTACAGCAGGACACAATAACCCGGGCTCCCCAGAACAGCCAACATCCACCCATCTCCCAGATCCATCCCTTTAACATCTCACTCACTCATCTTCACTCCTCCCAAGTCCTCTCCAAAAGCAGGACCACCAGAATCACTTTGAATGCTAACCTGAACTTGCCGAGGATATTCCAGTGCAAGGGAAATGCAAGGCCCAAGGAGGCGAGGTGGAGGGTAGGGCGTGGGGAGCGGAAGTCATGTTCCCAATCTCTGAACACTTCCGTTTGAGTCAGGCTAACATCTGCTCCAAAACCAGGACTGTATCAGTGTGAACAGAAAGGCAAGGCTTTTCTGTAAAAAGCCAGATAATAATGTTCTAGACTTTTTGTTCAAAGGTCTATGCAAACTACTCAGCTCTATTTGTAGCATGAAACCAGCCAAAACACTACCCAAAGGAATAGGCATGGTTGTGTTCCAATAAAACTTCATTCTCAAAAGTAGGCAGTGGTTTGTACTTTGCCAACAAACCCTTGAACTTGAGGATAGTTTGCTTAACCCCCATTCCCAAATCCCAAATGGGGAATTCTTGGAAATTATGAATGATATAATTTAGCTGACTTAGCTCTCAGTATTACCTAGTGACCGCCCACTGTCAATCACAGGTACCCAGCGACAATTCCAGTAACAACAATAACAATAGTGTCAAAAAGAGCAAGAATAATACTAGGTACTTTATGCCAGATATTTGTTAAATTTTCACACATATCTCATTTCATCACCCTAACAACTCTATGAGGTAAGTGCTATTAATTATTCCTATTTCAAAGATGGTAAAACTGAGGATCCAAGCAATTAAATGCCCTCCCAGTGTCATAAGGATATTAATAGATAAAACTTAGATTTAAACCATAACCTATTTATGTGACTTCAAATTCATACTCTCACACACCATACCACCAAAACATTACCTTAGGAGGAACAAAGAAAAATCTGTGAATTAGAGGCATGAGATTAAAATCTGAACCATTAAACCGATCATTCCAAAGGGGGCTGCTTTGTTCTTGCTGCATTTCAAAACACTTCCCTCTACAAACAAGCCTTTCTTTTGGCAGCCCCACTTTTCAAGCAACACTTACACCTAGAGCTATATACCTGCAGCTCATTGTCCAACATCTGCTTTACCGTGTCTTAGAGGCCCTGGTTTGATGTGCCGAAAGTAACAGGCAACATCTCTGATAGACCCCAAGTCTTCTGGACATAAGAACCAACATTCCACCATTTAGGTGTGAGGGGAAGCAGAAGCTGACACTGCAAAACATGCCTTTAGAGATATTAATTATGTTAAGCTGGTTAATTTTAAGAAACAAAAGAAAAAAATGTTTGACCTTCCCCTTAACTGCCTTAAAGAATTTAGATAGAGGGCCTGCCCCATGAAGAAGGATATCACCATAGATAACTAACTGTAGTTAAATATGAACCATCCCATGATAGATAAGGAGGAGCCTGGGAAGGCCCATTTGAGCAAAGGCCTCTGAGTTCCATCTTTCAAGATGGCCCAACAAATATTTGTTTACTAAACATTAACCCTTTTTACAACAAAACAAACAAGGAAGAAAAATATAACAAGCAACACTGAAAGAAAAAACAAACTGACAGTAAGGAGAGGGAACGAGGGAGGGGGTTAATGCGAAAAGAAGGGGAAGGGTCAAATCAAGGAACATGTATAAAGGACCCATGGACAAAGCCAAGTGGGGAAGGGCTGAGGGTGGGAGGTGGGGGTGGGTGGGGCAGGGGAAAGTGGTGATGGGAAAATGGAGACAGATGTATTTGAACAATAAAAAAATAAAAATAAAATAAACATTAACTCTTTTCAGAAGTCCTAGACCTCTACTCCACCTACTTCTTTAGTCCAGAATGACTATTATATGCATTTTGTATTATTGTCTTTGGAATTTTTATGCTTATATAAATTCCCCATGTACGTGTATTAAAACTTGATTTTCTCCTGTTACTCTGCCTTATGTCATTTTGATTATTAGCCTAGCCAGAAGAACCTTCTAAAGATAGGAGGAAGTTTTATATTTCTTCACCCACAGATGTGGAGCAACAGCTAAAGGCACAATCATGGTAGAAGTTCCAGGAAGAACTAAAGTGTGAGGACCAAATGCCATTTGATACTTTCCTCATTCTTTTCTTCTTCTTTGATTTTTCTCCATTATGCCTAGTAAGTCACCCCACTAATTCTTCCAAACCAGTCAGCATATTCTTCCGCATCCTCAAATGACTGTCCTAACCCAACCCTAGGAAAAAATCAATTAAAGCAGGGGTTGGCAAACTGCAGCCTGTGGACCCTATCCAACTATTTGAGAATGACCTTCAAAATGAGTGGTTTCTTTATTTTTTAATTGTTGAGGGGAAAAAAAACAAAAGGATGTATAATATTTCCCAACATGAAATTATATAAATTTCAAATTTCAATGTTCATGTATAAAATTTATGGGAACAGAGCCACTTTGTCCAGTATTACCTATGGCTTCTTTCACACTAAAATGGCTAGTTGTATAGTTGCAACAGAGACCACACGCTCTGCAAAGCCTAAGATACTTATATTTGCACCTTTACAGAACAGCATGCAAACCCCTGAGGTTGAAATATTAAACTTTTCCATCGATAGAAAATGTTCCCAAATCCAGACACAATGCATTCCAGAATTACAAAAAGGAGACTCATTAAGTCCACTAGAGTTAACAACATCAACAATTACACCATCCGAAAGATCACACCACTGTGTCCACTCTTAACTAAATGATGGGAAGACTTGAAGCCTTTTCATTCCTTCAGTGATGTTTTCAACTGGAGATGCTGATGGGATGTAACTTCCAATTTCCGACTAACAGCATTAGTATTCTAAATTGATGAACTGTAAATAGCAGGCACTTTTTGCCTCTTCTTAACTGAATTGAAGCCACAGAGTACAAAAAGATAAATTTTCTTTGGGTTTCTTGGCAAGAAGCTATATATATATGTAATTTTGGCTTTCATCTCCCAATTTCCTTCATTTATCAAAAATGTTGACAAAGAGGCTTTAATTAGATCATTCTAATCACAAAGAGCTGGGTGTGATGGAAGACTTCAGAATCACTATCTGTTCTTTGCAAAACAAAACAGATAGCCTACTCTCCCTGTAGGGGCAGGAGATTTATCAATAGACAAAAGGATGCAAAAAAAAACCAATAGATAAGGTGTAATTAAAGATCAGGCCTATAAATTTTACACTGACATAAATTTAAGAGGATTTGCAGGTAGAAATTCAAGATTCCAAACCCGAGTATCATTATGAATATAATACCATTCAGCTCTGTATGCAACAACACTGCAAAATACATAGATTTATTATTAAGACTAATACTCTGCCTCCAAGCCCTTTCATATAAAGAATTTGGATTATTCGGTGCCAAAGTAATTTCCAAAGTGGTCTATCTTCTTCAAGTATTTCTCCTTAATTAGCTACATTTTCCATGTACTGAACATCAAAATCTGTTTTAGAAACAGAAGTCACCTATCAAATTTTTGCTAGTTGTTAGAGGCATAATTTAGAAAGGTTTGTGTATTCTTGTAGGTCTGCATTTTTCCCCTCTTTATAATGTAATAAAATTATTACCAATGTAATATTCACCATGGTTATTATACAGAGTGGGACAAAAGCAGATTTACAGTTTGTGTGAAAACTAGTACAATAGCTCTGGCTGATGTGAATCAGTGGACTGAGTGCCGGCCTGCAAACCAAAAGATAGATCGCTGGTTCAATTCCCAGTCAGGGCACATGCCTGGGTTATGGGCCAGATCCCCAGAAGGGGGAGCTCGAGACACAACCACACATTGATGTCTCTCTCCCTGTCTTGCTCATTCTCTTCTCCTCTCTAAAAATAAATAAATAAAACCTTAAAACTATATTTATAAAATAGTACAATAATTAATAACTAATAATACAAGAATAAACTCTGTGTTTCATGAACTCACAACTGTGACCCTACTTTTGCCCCACCCTGTAGTGGTCTCTCTCTTCACTGGTTCAAAGGCTAAGAGTAAAAATAAAAATGAAAAAAACTGCAGAAATCATAGACTAGAGGGCTGAAGTATATTCAACTAAGAGCTGATCTGAAAACTAAAGTTGTATTTCTTAGATTAAAGCATAATAGATCATTTTGATATGTGATCCTTTGTAATATTTAGCAGATATTTAGCAGCTCAAGACTAGCCTTATATTCTCTGCTCTCTAAAATCACAGACACTGGAGAACAACAGAAAAGAAATAGCAACATCTTTTGGAAAATTACAAGTTTCCTACAATAACTCATTAACAAGTAAAGTTCAGAAAATAAATTTAAGGGAAAGACAGGTTGGGAAAACAAGTGGGAGAGATAAATTAAGGTTTTTGAATAACCTTGAGGCAAAACAGGCTTGACTATTACCACTTTTAGGGAACTACAAAAGGCTTGAACAAATAAAGCAAAGCATGCTTTCCAATGAGTTTAATGGGATGTTAACAGGCCTGTGTGATCCTGGTCACAACAAATCAACTTACCGGAGTAGGCCCAGTATGGATCCCCTGAGGCTTTGCGCCTCCGTATCTGCGCTGAGCTGCTGTGTCTGTTGTCCTGAAGGGACCCAACGTAGCCTTCTGTCAATGCTGGAAGACAAGGAAAGCCACAGTAAGACAAAGTCATCACCCTACTGGACACAAGAAGGTATCAAAAGCTCACAGCTATGTGACTTCCCAAACTCACAGACCTTGAAATAACTGAATAGAACCTCTTGGTTTTATAGAAAAATAACTACAGAAGACTGTAGAGAAATTACCATGGTTACTATTAATATTAATCACAGCTTAAAATGTGTCTTTACTTTGTACCAAGGGCAATGCACTAGATACTTTATGTATGTTATCTTATTTAATCTGCAACAGACCACCAGGCAGTAGACACAATGATCCCAACAGTGGGACCATTCCATACTTAAGCAAACTGGAGCTTAGAGAAGTTAACTATAGCTTGCCCGAGGTCATACAACTAGTAGACCTGGAACCTGCAATTTTGGTTCCAACTACATGCATAGGTGCAAAGGGCCTCTAGACTTATTTGACCTGCAGAGAGCAAGGGTCATTCCATCTCTTTTACACATGGAGGAATTAAGGTTCAGAGTCCCAGGTCACAAAGGTAAGGATGCAGCAGGTCAGGGAACCGAACGGAAGCATGCCTACATCAAAGCCAGGGCTTCTGCCATCCACTCCAAGCACAGTCTGAGGCCTAGGCGACTCCCCATGTTAAGTATCAGACCTTCACATCCTTTGAAACCCAAGTAGTCAGTCACCTGTTGGACAAATGCAAAACCCTCCAAGGACAGTAGAAAAGAAACACTGCTTAATGATGTACTTTTTGAAAACTCAAAATGAATCCCATCTTCTGTGCCATTGTGGAGGACTCCCATCTGCCAGCTCTAGTGTTCAAAGCCCTCCCCGCCCATCCCATCAAGGATGCAAAATTCTTTTGTTGTGAGCCCACACCTGAGCGCACTGATGTTTAAAAGACAAGTATCACAGGTGCCCAGAATCCAAAATGAAATGAAATTACACTTCAAACAATACATCCCAGCTGTCTATGTTAACATTTAAATGCACCCAAACAAAATCAAATGTGCTTTTAAAAAGCAAAGAAAATGGTTGGGGGAACTGTACAGTCAATTAAAGATTAAGATGGCACCAGAGAAACACAATACATTTTCTATTCCAAATTACTCAGAGTAATAACAATAATCTCACCATGATGGCATTACCTTTGTAGACACTGTGACAGTCATGAGGAAAATTAGAAAACATGTACAATACTTTATGCTTGCATGTCAATTGCAAAGAATGGCAAAGATTGGCTTTAAGAGAAGTAATGACTGAACAAAGAGAAAAGATGGTCCATTGAGATGAACCCTTCCAAGAAAAAGAAGAATCTTTTAGAATCCTAAAACACATCTAAAAAGCAAATCTAGTGTTATTCATACCTGCTCATTGGTCCTGAATAACAAAGTCAAAATCTAAGTCACTATTCATTTTTCAAGTATAATGAAGGTTTAGGTACCTACCATCCACTCCATTCCAGTTTTTGCAAAGGAGCCATATACAGACCCAGAAAGTTGACCATTCTAAGCCTCTAGGAATCATGAATAATAAAATCCCCTGCCCTGGACGGGTGGCTCAGTTAGTTGGAGTATCATTGTACACCAAATTGTTGCAGGTTGAATTCCCAGTCAAGGCACATACCTACATTACGGGTTCAACCCCCGGTCTGGACATGTGCAGCAGGCAACTGATCAGTATTTCTCTCTCTCTCTCTCTCTCTCTCTCTCTCTCTCTCTCTCTCTCTCTCTCTCTCTCGTGTGTGTGTGTGTGTGTGTGTATCTTGAATCCGTGAACATATCCTCTGGTGAGGATTAAAAAATAATAATAATAAAAATAAAGTTAAATCTCCCAACTAGTCTTCTAATTTTTTTCCCATACACTAAAGCACACCAAATGAATAATTGTTAGGTTTATTTATTCTCCATGTATATGAGGAAACTTTTTAAATATATCTGTTTACTAAGCATCTTAGAGCTAGTTCATTCTAGTCGGTCCCAAATAATTCTTCCTCTTTGTATCAGGACATTGAGTAAAAAGAGTATCTTGACCTTGGGAGTAATCCATGTGACTTCCACTCATGTATGTGACTGAGCATTGGCTTCCGTGTCTGTCACATTGAGATAAAAATACCAACCCCATAGGACAGTTATAAAGATACACAAGCTACCGTGAGCAGAGCACCTAACTCAGCATGGGCATATAGTCCTTTCTTTTTTCTTTTCTTTCCTTTTTTTTTTTTTTTTTTTTTTTTTACTGATTTGAGAGAGAGAGAGAGAGAGAGAGAGAGAGAGAGACACCAATTTATTGCTCCACCCATTCATGCATTCATTGATTCTTTTTGTGCCTTGACCCTGGATCAAACCCACAACCTGAGCATAAGGGGATGACGTTCTAAACAACTGAACTACCTGGCCAGAACTATATACAGTGCTTTTAAATGCCTGATAACATAGTGGCAATTTGGTGCAGTCACTGCTTTTTAACCATCATACCTCCCACCCACTCCCTCAGCCAGGAATCATACCCTGAACAGCCTGGCCCCCTCGCCCCTCTCCCTGCCAGCTCCAGGTCGGGGGAGACACTGGCTTATGCCAGTCAGACTGTACTGCCCCGGCCCCAATGCCGTATTTAGAAATGGGGCCATCTGCCAATCAGAGAGATTATTCTCTCTCCCTGAATTATTATAGCATGAACTAGAAGCCTCATTGGGGCGAATGAGGGTCAAGAAAGAGATCAGAAGAGTAGCTCAAGAGTGGAACCAAGCCAGAAGAAGCAACCTCTAAAGATGGATTCTTGTTGGCAAATTTTTAGCCAGGGACAAAGCCAATTTAAAACCAAGCCCATGGAAGCTTCATATTTACATAAACCAATTACCCACCCAAAGTTTACTTTTCTGTCTCCTATACTCAAAAGATCCACAAGTGACACTAACCATAACCTGGTGACCTTCAGAAAAGTCACTTAAACCCATGATCATTAAGTTCTCCATCCAAAAATGCCCTTGATGGACTACAGCTCTGACTCTCAACTCTTAAAAAAAATTAAAATTAAAAAATTAAAGAACCGTATACCATGGACCCTACCTGCAAACACTGGGATTTAATTGGTCTAGGGGGTACACCTTGATATCAGTATTTTTTTTAAGTTACCGAGATGATTCCCTTGAAGCCAGAAATAAGAAGCACAAACCTCCCTGATGAGCCAGACCTAGGTCCAGTTCAGCTCTGACACTCTCAGCCCCGACCACGCAACCTGTAACTTCACACGCTAAGTCTTAACACGAGTAAAGAGCTGGCTAGAAATCAACCCAGTGTGGCGTCAACCTCAGAATCTAGACCAACAAACCTGAACTAACCAAAGTTCTGCCAGAAAACTAACAAATGAACTGAGTATCCTAGTAAAGGGAATGAGGTTATACTCAAGGATATTAACTCCTATACTTTTTACAATAAATGTCATCTCATATCACAACCTCCACAAATAGTCCTGTTTTGTTCCTGAAAAGGAGGTGCTTTCCATTTGCCAGACACTTTGAGAAAATCAGGGCGGGGCAAAGGGGAACAAAGGCTGCCAGGCCTATCTCTCATTTGCGTGGCTCCCACACTGGCAGCTACACTCCCTGTCCTGCCTGGAAAGCAAAGTGACAAGAGTCCAGAGCTCCACTGGGTAAGTACAACGACCTGCTAGTACTGAGAAGTAGACCATAAGGCCTGGATAGGGGCCATAGGTGTGGGTTTCCAACACCTGCCAGCTACCCAAACCAATAAAATATTGTACTATTAAAAAATTAAAACGACATAATATATTTAATTCAAGAAACGAGGGAGATACATGTCAGAAGGTCCTTCCTGACACTGCACATCAATGGCATCCATGTTCCAATCAGCAGGTACCTTCCCAGCCATCCGTGCACATCACACTGTGTGCCAGCCGTGGCACCGCCTGTCTAAAGGTAGTTCAACTTGGGACAAAAGTCAGAGTGCGGTTTTGCTCTATACACACTAAAGGATAAGAAGCCATATGGGGGAGAGGGCCATCCTGAGGAAGGTGGTTACGCCCCCATCTTCATCTCACTTCCCAGAGCACCGAGGTCCAATGTGGGCTGGACACAGCGAGGTGAGAACGGACAGGAAACCGTGCTTCCGAAGAGCATGCTGCATGGCCTGAGCTCCCTGGAGATAAAGGAACTCCGAACCTACCACCCACCATGGAGCTTGAGGTATGGCGGGTGTTCCGTAACTAGTGAGTGAGTAACTGAACGAATAAATGCATGAAAAATCAGGAGGCTGGCGGTGTCTGTGCTGGGGGTAAGGGTATATGTATACACTGTGGTCATATAAGCCACAAGTAAAAGCTCCAGAACACAACCATCTACAACATGAAGCAGGAAATAACAAACCCGCCCCCCTGCCCCGGACCTGATAAGCAATTGTCTGGAGAGACAACTCAGAAATGAAAAGAGTAGCAACGAACTTTATCACCCTGGCACCAGATTTCTTTTTAACACATAAACTATACATTAAAGATGACTATATTTAGTGTTCCCTTTTATTTCATCTATGTCAGTAATGTGTGGTTTCCTTTTCCCTGAATGAGAACATAATCATGGATTACTGGCACTTGCATATTTAAAAGAAAACAAAATCTTAGTTCCAAATGTATTTTAATCATATGACAAAGATTTGATTTTTAAGAAATTTTTAAAATTATTATTTGAATAGCAGTAATAAAGGTGTATCAAATATATTAAGGCACTTACTATTTTATTGGCAAGGAGCAGAGACTTGCTAAAAGAAACAATCTGCAGTTCCCAAGTAAAGATACAGACTCAGCACACCAAATTCAATCAATTTTAATACTCTATGCACTCTTCTAAACTCAAACAGCCAACCAACGGCAGCATGGCAATGATATGTATGGTAAGGCTATGAATCATGCTATTGATTTTCAATATCTTCTGTGCAGAAAATTAAATTATGCAAATGCATGCCTTTACGGATCCTTACCTTAATGTAAAACTG